GTCTGTCTCAATAGTTTCAGCAAACTAGCGACCTCGACTACCCCACTCGTAAATCGAGAACAATTCTATCGTTATTTAAATACAATATTAATAAGCACACCAGAATAATAAATACTATGTGATATGGCAATTTTAGTTGTACGAGTTCGCGTGTACGCATGAAGAGGACTTTACAATCGCCTTCTATTCAATTTTGACGTGTCCAATTTAATTACGCACGCGTGGGATACACACAACAATGTGCTTAGTCGAGTTTTTTAACTTCTCGATCGCGTAAAAGTTAACTCAAATTGGTATAGAGTTGGAACAGCGCCTCTAGCGGCAAACGTAGGCGAAGGTTCCAACTCTATACAAATTAACTTTTACGCTATCGAGAGCGTTAAAAAACTCGCACTAAGCACATGTTCTACGATGCGCCGTATAGTCTTCAGTTCTTCCACCATCATCGACGAAACGAAGAGAAGCACTAAGTACACTGGAGTTAATCGGAGAGGTAAACAGGGACACGCGCTGAGCAAAAGTACTTGAGAATACTGAACCCAAGACGGCCGGTTTGGGACGATGAGCATGCGCTGAGCAACTGTGTGGTTATATACAATAACTGCAAATTTGACCCAATACCTCACCTTCATGCCTCAAAGTGGTATCCACGTTATGACTAGCTTATCGTTATTAAGGTTCCGATGACATCGGGTAGAGCGTGAGCTTCCACCAGATGCAATAAGAAAAATCAAATGCATCATCGTGCGTTGCATAACTACACTGTGATGCAATTGGCCGAGGTGATAAGCTCGTAAGCTTTAAAGCAATATTCGAACGAGGATTATCCTCGGTATCTACATTTCGCGTTATTGAAGTGCCTTTTTATGACGATGGCGTTGCGGCTAAAATAAATAAAAAAAGGCAATAACGAAACCGCACCTCGTTTAGGTTCTGAAAACCGCATTTATACCTATACGAATAGATAATTTGTTTAGTTCTGTAAAATTTAATTACATACATTTATCTAGGTCTAAAGTCTAATAAGGAATTAAGAAGTAAACATCAGTACAAAATCGTGAATTTTTTTTCATCTTCTATACGTAATACGACTTTGATAAGTTAAAAAAAATTGCGAACTATCGTAGCACGATCGATGGTGAATCGTCTATGGGCATTCACAATTTGACCTCGTTGTTGAGTCGTTACCGTTAGGAGGCACAAATTTGGTGATGCTTGTGACCGATAGATACATATTGGGCAAGGAAGTGGACCGACCAAATTAGAACTACAGTGGGAGGCCCCTTAAGTGAGTGAAGCGAAATAGCTTCGACCAGGAAAAGTGGCGGGGTAAGACCCTTCAGATCTGTCCCCTCCAAGGCTACAAAACGACCACGGCCACTAGACAAGAGTGAAGTATTAAAAAAGATCAAAGAAAACGTGTATTGCCCACTTGAATATCCGTGTGTTTCCTAAGAGTTACAATGTTATCAAATATCATTTTGAGGTATATTCTGGATATATTATCTTAAAATGAGCACATTGTAACTAAGGTATCAAAAATTTAAGTAACAAATTATTAAAAACCAAATTAGAATCTGGTCTCTAAAAAAGAAAATGTTTTACGCCTTTTTAATTCTATGCAAAAAATATCGAACTATGACGTCAGTGTTCAGTAAACGCCATACAAAATCTATACCATCACTTGCATTGCGGAAAAAGTACAATAGCTTCTCAATTACTAACGATGAAACTCAATGCTTCAAATATAATATCTTAGAACTTAATGTTCGATTGAAATAATGTCTTTATGAGACGTATATTTATTTGTAAATAAAGCTCTCTTGGCCCTTCATTACATTTAAATTTCCCGTGCATTAGCTTCGACTATCGCAATATTATCTAGGTGGATGCTATGTTCATTCTATATTTGGAACGTACTCTCTGGCTTTGTACATTCAAAAAGATAACATGCTTTCTTAAAAAATTAAAATACTTGCAGATCAATGTTGTTTCTCTTTGGAGGTTCGAAAATAATTATAACTAGAGGTCCCGCAGTAGTTGAAATTCGACTATAATTAATTGGAATTGTAAGTTTGTACACTATTATGATTGTATTTTATACTTCTATAATCACGAATTTCGCCAAGACAACACTATAAAAAATATTAACAAAGACAAACAATATTTAATCTATTCTCAATTTGACAACATACGTCAAGAACAAAAGTTTGACAATAAATAGTATGCATGCGTGTGTGCGTCAAATACATGGTATGTAGTTGTGTAATGTTTTCTTTATTGATTTAAAGTATCTTTTATGCATTATTTTTAAAAAATCTTAGCATTGTGCACTTCTTCTCTGTATTCTCTATAAGTGTGGAAAATTTCATACTCCTCCGTCCGCGCAATTTTCGTAAAAAGGGGTACAAAGTTTTTGCTTCACGTATTAATATGTAGATAACTGTAAGTGTAGAAATAAGTTAATAAAATAATTATAATAAACAACTCTTTGCAGAACAACAACTTGGTTTTTTGTTTCATTAACAACACATTACAAAACAAAATTGAATTAACAACACTTTACATATTTTTAATTATTCTCAGTAATTTTAATTTATTCAATAGTGAGCCCGATGTTCGCGTCACGGTCCGGCATAGATTCAGTTCCACTCAGTGCGTGTTCCGTCTTTCCCCCGCGTGATGTGACTAAAATGCGAATCTGTGACTCTCTATGGAGCTGTCAGTCTTATAGCATCGGTATTCGAATCACGTTCAAATTGATATTGAAACAATGAGTGATGCCGGTATAGAGGTACATATAGTTATTACATACGTATCATTCGCAAGAAGTATTTTTTCCTCATTACCTATTCGTAGCCACAGATATTGGTTTGTGTTTTTATAATGTTAAAATAATCATTTTTTATAAATTTACCTAGGGCCTCCTTCTCTCGTTTATTACATGTCATATGAATTAAAACATTCCCGATCCTGCGGACAGAATGGAAAGCAGTCGACGTCGCCCAAAACACGTCATCTCGGTTCCTCCCGATCCACTAATGGTGCTTCTAGGTACTTCAAGCACCGGTCACCGTTCTCGTCGAACCCGTCGCTTGCGACGAAGGGCTCGACGAGTAAATTAACTCCCAGACACAGCCCACTGAGTTTCTCGCCGGATCTTCTCAGTGGGTCGCGTTTCCGATCCGTTGGTAGATTCAGCGAAGCACGGCTCTTACTAGGGTTCGTGTTAGCAACGTCATCAGGTTTGAGCCCCGTGAGCTCACCTACAAACGTTAGGGTTACGCTGGAATAGCCTCTCAAGGCTACCAACTTAGATAGGAAAAAAAAATGAATTAAAAAAAAAATATTTTGCGTCCATGAACACTGACAAATGATAAATGATTTCCGCATGAATGCCGAGTAATCGGGATAATAGTTAGGTACGTATAATGACGTGGCGTTTCGACTAGATTACAATTAAGTAACCATTAATTATTAATTTTATTTTTAATAATTTTAAGAATTTAATTTATGTGTTAGGTTTTTAAGTTACTAACATAGATTATATGTAATTCTTACTAACAAAATGTTATGGTTTTTAAAAAAAAACTGAAATAAGGTATCAAAAAAAAAAAAGATATTAAAATTGAACTTCTCTACAATGACTTAACACCAGGAGACCTGTGAAGTTGTTCATCCATTCAATAAGAAATGTAATTTTTGGCGTGAACATTGAATTCTAACCAAGGTACCAACCGCTCTCTGGGTATTCTCTGACACGTACTTACTTGCGAACTTTCTTTCGACTGACTGACCCATACAATGCTGAGGATATGCTTAGGTACTTTCTATTAGGGTAATGTTTACGGATCGCCTTATTGACCTAGATATTAGTGACTACCATAGCACGAAGACAGAATACAAATATTTTTCGTTATTTTTTTTTCTTTTTTTTGTTGTTGCTCACATGGGTGGACGAGCTCACAGCCCACCTGGTGTTAAGTGGTTACTGCAGCCCATAGACATCTACAATGTAAATGCGCCACCCATCCTGAGATACAAGTTCCAAGGTCTCAAGTATAGTTACAACGGCTGCCCTACCCTTCAAACCGAAACGCATTACTGCTTCACGGCAGAAATAGGCAGGGTAGTGGTACCTACCCGCGCGGACTTATGTCAATATACTTTATTTTATAGGTATGGATGTACACGCGTTTGTCTGGTATGTTTTTCAGCCGCTAATAACACAGAAGAAAATGACAGCTCGGAGCAGCTGAATGTGTAACGTTTATATACCGTTTATTGCGGGTCTCGTGAACTTTAATTACCTTTATTAACCCCATTAGCTACCATGTAGGTCACCTGTGCCCTACGTGGCGCACTGAAGTAATTATGTCGATTTCTGTTACTAAGACGCCGCGATATCTGAGAAAGACGAATCCGAAGATACTTAGAGTAATATGTTTTTCTAAGAGACCTAAAAGACTAAAAACATACATTAAGAAACAAAAGAAGGCAAAATCAGGTAATCCAGACTCTTTATCCAGAAATCGATATAAATACTTCAGTGCGCCACGTAAAGCACCGGTGGTAGGACCTCTGTGAGACCGCACGGTTGGGTACCACCACCATGCCTATTTCTGCTGGGAAGCAGTAATGCGTTTCGGTTTGAAGGATGGGGCAATCGTTGTAACTATACTGAGACCTTAGAACTCATATCTCAAAGGTGGATGGCGACTCTTACGTTGCAGATCTCTATGGGCTCCAGTAATCACTTAACACCAGTTTGGCTGTGAGCTCGTACACCCATATAAGCAATAAATAAATTAAAAAAACATCGCAGTCAAAGGGTTAAATAACGTCAAACTTAGCGCTTCAGTGCTATACAGCACATGCTTTTAGCTCGATTTCCAAGAGTAAAAATAACGGGTTATTGCAGTAGGTTGCCTTCATTCAATCCAATAGGATAGGAAGGCAGGATATCTTTGTATGGGTATTGTCGCTGAAAATATCCTAACCTGGAAAGCGAACACGATGTATCCGGTGACGTGGGACTCGTGGAGCACGTCGTGGATTGACCGGAGCGTCGAGCCGAGGTAGACATTGATCACCTGCGCCGGTAGCAGACCGAGCATCGTCGCGAGATGGTAGCCGCAACCGTGAACGTCGCTTACCTGTTGATAAACATAAATAACATAATTTACTTTATTTTGTATTAATTAACCGACTTCAAAAAAGGAGGAGATTCTCAATTCGACGGTATGTTTTTTTTAAATGTTTGTTACCTCATAACTTTTGACTGGGTGAATCGATTTTGATGATTCTTTTTTTATTAGAAAGCTGACGCTTCCCGTGTGGTCCCATTTTAATTTAGTCCAGTTCTGATAACGGTGTCCATGAGAAAACCATATAAGTCTTAAATTATCATTAAGTACGTGCGCGACAAATAAATGAATAACTCAATAACTCAATATCACGCCAACCGATTTCGATGATTATTGTTTTTAGTGTATGTATAAGTATATTAATTTGTTTTGGTATATCTTTTTTTTTTCTATTTGCAGTCGGTTTTTGTTAAAGCATGTCTATTTACAATTATTATTATATTATGAATACGTTTGTATATGTTACGCGTCACGCAAGCATGCCTTTGCATTTCACGCCTTTATAATTATAGGCAGAGGTGGATTTACACTAGGAGCAGTCGGGGCAAATGTTTTAGGGCGACAAAATTTAGAAAATGAATTTTTTTTTTATTCTTTAGATTGCTCGATATAATTAATTAATTCTATTCATTAATAATTTTCTATTTAATTGATAATTCAAGAAATTCAATTCATCCATTATTTGTGATTTATAATATTGTTTTGACAATTTTGGTGAACATTAATAATCAAAATGATTTAATCAATTTATTTCATTGGAGATTTAAAATAATAATCCAATATTCTATTTTCTGGAATTAGAGAAATTTCATTCGTTTTTTTTTTTTTTTTTTAATTTATAATTGTTAACAACTGACTTCAAGTACCGTATTCATTTATCTTATTAATCTTAAAATTTTAAAATACCTATGCTAAGTTGGACGAGCTAGAGGGCCGAATGCACCGGATGTCTTATCCTTTAGGCCACGACGCGGCGAAGACTTCAAATACAAATACATCAAGAACCGTACCTGAACCTACCCCAAATATCGCCATAAATAAAGGTATCTTTCGGTTTTTTTTTTTTTTTTTCCTACCTAAGCTGAGAGCCTTGAGAGGCTATTTCAGCGTAACCCTAACGTTTGTAGGTGAGCTCACGGGGCTCAAACCTGATGACGTTGCTAACACGAACCCTAGCAAGAGCCGTGCTTCGCAGAATCTACCACCGGATCGGAAACGCGACCCACTGAGAAGATCCGGCGAGAAACTCAGTGGGCTGTGTCTGAGAGTTAATTTACTCGTCGAGCCCTTCGTCGCAAGCGACGGGTTCGACGAGAACGGTGACCGGTGCTTGAAGTACCTAGAAGCACCGTTAGTGGATCGGGATCTTTCTGTTTCGACATCACCAGTTATTATTGAACAATTAATTTACAATTTAAACAGGAAAATGTGATTAATTTTATTTAATAATAATTTTTAATTTATTATAAACAGGAAAATGTGATTGTTTTTATTTAATAATCATTTTAAATTTATTATTAGATAAAAACAATCAAATTTTCCTGTTTACATTGAACGGTAATTTTATAAAAAAAAAAAAGCGCATTGCTATTAATAAATAGCATCGCGTGTACCGTGTTTGTTTACAGTGCCACTACAAAATATAACGGACAGCACGCTAAGCTAAACTCATTAGCATATTCGTTAGTTTAAGCGGTAGAGTTGTAACAATTATTCTTTATGATATTTTCGTTTAACTCATAACTAGGTTTATGTATGCAGTCACGAAAATATTAAATTTCAAGATGAATCAACAAATTGAATCGATACGTCACTTAATATTATTACGAAATCTTAAATTTAACTGCCGTATACCATAAATAACCATTGTGCACCATTATTATAATGAGTTCGCACTTGTGTGCGTATTTAATATATTTTGTGCAATTGATTTCTCAATGTCTAGTATCTGTGTGTCATTTTTACATACTATATTTTCAATAGATTAACTGTGCGCGACGTGAAGAAAGTTCACGAAGGCTCACTCTTGAGTACCCACCCTGAAATGTAGAGCGTACAAAAATGTAGAGTAGGTATGAGGAACAGGTTTATGCTTGGGAAGATTTATACGAATGTTCCCTTTTTAAAATATTGGTTTTTGTGTTTCATTGCTTACATAATATAATTCCTCATTGTGTTTGAAGAAGCAAATTTTTTTTGTTTGTGTTGATAAATATTGAGATAAAATGGCATTTGCCTCCTGATCGACGCTAGTATTGCAGCACTCGATACGCTTACACAGGATTTCCTACTCATTAGGTCACGGACGCTTATGTGTATTGTCCGTTCGTCCTTGTCCAACCAGAGTTCGACTTCACCGGGCGTATATCTTCATTTTATACTATCTTTTAGCCCACAGACGTCCACTGCTTAACACAGGCCTTCTTTTTTTTTGGCCTGGGAGACGAATCTTATATGTGGTATTCGCGTGTGGGATCTGTGGGGTGTGTGTGTGTGTGTGTTGGTATTGTGAGCAGACAGCGGGCCCAAGCATCCGGTAGTAGATTCATTCGCGAAGCAATTGCTCTTGAGTTGTTAGGTCTCCTTCGGAGGCGCTCGGACAGTTGTTAGCAAATCCCACCCCTCCTGGCTGAGCCTTTGCTCGCCCACATGTCCTGGTGAAACTGGAAAGGCCTCCGGGCCACCAGTAATCTATTAATCATAAAAAAAAAGCGGGCCCAAGGAGGTTTTAGGGCCCTGAGCATATATTTAGGCCTCCCCAAACCTTGCAACCACCAAAAAACTGTACCGAAACCTGAATAATCATTTACCGTTTTTTAACTTTCGCGTTTGTAATTCCACTCGTGACCACGTATCATTAATCGAGTAACCGATTAATTAATCGAGTAATATCGTTGTTATGGGAAATTCATTTTGAATGCGTCAAACATTTCAATCAGTAGATAGTAAGTAGCACGAGTTAACAAAATATTTCGTTTATACAGATCCATCTTGGCGGAGGCACTACCGTCCATACGGAACCACGAATTATGGATGGCAACCGACAAGAAGTGGATGTTGGTGGAAGAACTGAAGACTATACGGCGCGTCGTAGTTTTTTAACGTTTTCGATAGCGTAAAAGTTTACTCAAATTTGTATAGAGTTGGAACGTTTGTCGCTGGGGCGCTGTTCCAATTGCATACAAATTTGAGTTAACTTTTGCGCTATCGAGAACGTTAAAAATCTCGCACTAAGCTAACTTCCTTACGTTTTTTTTTAAGACGAAGACAGGCTATCTAGTAATATGATAGATAAAGTGTTTTCATTGATAGAAAATATGCTTAGTGCAAGTTTAAGTCGCCTATTACTATCATACCCGGTCACCGTCCTAGCCGAACCCGTCCCTTGCGACGAAGGGCTCGACGAGTAAATTAACCCATAGACACAGCCCACTGAGTTTTTCGGCGGATCTTCTCAGTGGGTCGCGTTTTCGATCCGGTGATAGATTCTGCCCAGCACTGCTTTTGCTAGGGCCAGTGTTAGCAGCACTCCGGTTTGAACCCGTGAGCTCACCTACACGTCCAGAAGCTGAAATAGCATCTTAAGGCTATCAGCATAGGTAGGAAAATAAAAAACTATGATACCAGATACATCGACTTTGTCGCCGGTACGTACATTTTTCTGTCGTAATTGACATCGGGTCACATGATTAAAACGTCTCCCATAAATTAAATAAATTAGGTTGGCCGATTCGTGTCTTCAATGAAGAATAATACTAATGTTCGGGCAATGAACGAAATTCCACTGCAGTCATTGACACCTCAAGGTTTTGAGTCATTTTGTTTATTTTCTCTTTTGTCTTGTTATTGATATTTTGAAAATAAAACTGACGAACACAACAACAACTCGTCAATAGCTATTAAAGAATATTTAAGAATATCGGTTGATAAACACAGGGGAAAATGATAACTGCTTTGTGTTTTGCCTATTGATATACGAGTATTACCCGTTTATCGCTCTTTCTCTTAGAATGAACCGTATCAAAATCGGTTATGTGCTTTAGAAGAAGTAAGGGGAGAAATAGGCAGACGTATACAACGACCTTCGATTATTTTCTATAGAAATAAAGATATAAATAAAGACAGCCGATGAGTCGTGATTCCGATCCGGTAGTAGATTCTACGAAGCACTGCTCTTACTAGGGCTAGTGTTAGCAAATTCTCTCAGGTTGAACCCGTGAGCTCACTCACCCGTCCGGGCGTAGCTGAAATAGCCTCTCAGGCTAACAGCAAATAGGTAGGAGAAAAAACGTGGGTGAATATCTTCGATCTCTATTCAGTTAAATACAGCAATAACGTTATCCAAATGTGTAATTTTTTTTTTATTGCTTTGATGGTTAGACGAGATCACAGCCCACCTGGTGTTAAGTGGTTACTGGAGCCCTTAGACATTTAAAACGCAAATGCGCCACCCAACTTGAAATATAAGTTCTAAGGTCTCAGTATAGTTACAACGGCTGCCCCACCCTTCAAGCCGAAACGCATTACTGCTTCACGGAAGAAATAGGCGGGGTGGTGGTACCTACCCGTGCGGACTCACATGAGGTCCTACCACCAGTAATTACGCAAATTCTAATTACAACAAAGACCGTGTACCTCCAAGAAAATTAAACGATCAACTCATACCAGTCCCATTTTAGATTCGTCTTCGAGCATAGGCCTTCTTTGTAGCATTCCATTCTAGTCTATTCCCGTCACCTGCAGTTGTAGCCAAGAACGTCTATAGGACGAATAACACAAATTTTAGCAAAGACAATAATAGCATCAATGGTTAAATATAGCTATTGAATATGCGCCATTTACGCTAAGTACCTATAATTGGGTTACTATTTACTTGTCGATGGTCTAGACTAGAAGATATACGTAGTTACGGAGGCAAAGTTCAGGGTTGATATTTGACGGTTTGCCATCAAGACGACGTGATGATATTTGCGTATCTACCTTCGATATTATCTAAGAGAGAATATTTA